TGGGATTTTTTTTGAAGATGGCCTGGCAGTTCTAACAATGTAATCTTGCTCATTTACTGTGATTCTAAGTGCAAATTTACAGTCACTCCAAAGTTTGGGACTCAAATTATGTACAAAGAAAATAGTCCACTTGACTCTGATGCCATCTGCTTTCTTCCCTAAGTTGTGTTCTGAGAGAACAGTTAAAAGCTAAGTGTGAGAAGATAATGGAGTGAAGCTGGAAAGGTTTCATTCCTTGCTCTGGCTTCTCATGAATGTACCGTAGGTAAATCTCTGCCTCATTTTCTCCTTCTGTTAAGTGTAGCTTTATACATCTTTCAGTGTACCTGTTGCACTGAAATGTCAATCTACCTACTGCATCAGAATGCTTCGGTGGCCTGGTCAATAATCCTTGGGAAAACCTCTTTGAGAAAATCTTAAGGACGAGACACTACACAAGTGAAATGTTTAAGTTTCTGTGATACTGGAAGGTTTTCATTTGAGGCTTTTCCTTTAATGCATGAAGTGCTTGGTCATAATAGCCTCTAGAAAGATGCCTTTTCCTATGTGCCATAACCTTGCTTGGCTGGACATGCTATTGAATTGATATCCTTTTGTTGCTACTTGAGCAAGATATATTACTGATCATAATTTCCATTCTTTCCATCTCTCTTTCTGCCTGAATTCACCTAAACCTGTTCTTCATCCTCATGACTGCAGTACCTCCATTCTTCTCTGTTCTCACAATGCATCATATATGTTCTGACTTCATTTTCTTCTCCACTACAATCCATGTGACCTTGAGCAACCTCCCTGGGCCTCAGTTTCCTTATCTGTAAAATAAGAGGATTGGACTAGAGTCAATGCTTCTTCAACTGTGGGTCAGGACGAAAAAATTTGCAACAGTAAAAGGTTTCTGAACACAAGGACCAAAAGATAATTCAAAATCAAACACCTAGTGAATCCAAAGAGTTTCTGGCACTTTGCATTGCACATGCCCTCAGGACATGCAATGCCAACAAACTGCCTAAACTGAAAAGGGGTTGTGAGTGGAAAAAGTTTAAGAAGGCCTGGACTAAATGATTTCTGGAGTCCATTCCAGCTATAAACCTCTGATCCTTAATTTCTACCTGTTCACCAACCAGCTTAAGCATCTGCTGTAATGCAGAGCTTTCTGGGTTAGGCACTGTGGGGTGACAGGCAATGAAATATTTAGCATAGATATGGGCCCTGACCTGGAGCTCGTATGGGAACATCAGAAATGGTAGAGGATGCTGTATGATCTCCAAGGCCCCTGCCAGCCCTAACATTCTCATTCTATGACTTTTTCTCTCTGGATACCCCCTTACCAACTACAGAGAGAAATAAAGGGGAATGAGAATAACTTATTGAGTCAGTATCACTGTACATCGTCTACCATTATATTGTATACCACTTGAATTTTTTACAAAGTGATTGAGACCTGGTGATCCATCTTCAGTGTTTCCAAATGATGTGTCACCTAAGCCTTGGCTTTTACTTATTCTGGTGGCTGGTCATTGCTATGCTCATGTGCACATTTCCCAGACACCAGCAGAACAGGACATGCAATGAAGACCTGCCAACTGCCATTACTTATCATCAGCTCTATTGAAGACTAATGAATAGGAGTCGAAGGATAAACAGTTGATGGCATTCATCAGGCCTCTTGCTTTACCTCATTGCCACAGATAATGGGGATTTGACCACAAGTCTGTTGTCATTCTATTGATAAAATTTAAATCATCATTTTTACATTTTGCCTGCCCAGAGTGTTTATCCATCCTTACTAAACTTCTGGGCTTGCTTACTACTGCCTGGATCTAACAACCTATAAGAACAGTGCTGATTCAACCAGAAAGACAGATCCAGATAGACAAAAGCTGAATTACCTAAAGACAATTCAACATTTAATCAATGTTTTTTTTCTTTGTAAAACCGGTATGAATGCAGGCTGCCTTCCATCTGTTTCATCATGTATATGAAACATCCTCATTTTTTTAACATGATATTTCAAAGGATTTGCTCCAGTATGATACAAGGTGATAGGGTAGAAGGAGATATAACTTGGGTTGAAGAGATAAAGGATAGCCATTTTCCAGTGTGTTTCACCGAGATGACTTGTGCCCATTAGCTTAGTTCTACCCAGCTGGCTGGTTGAATAACTTCTCCACCCTTGACGCATTGTTCCCAGAGGATCACACTCTAGAAAGCTGTTCTGTAATACACTGAACAAATACACCTATTTTGTGATATAACCGCAATTCCATTCTTCTTTTCTTCATTGGTCTATATAGATAGTGTATATCTTATCCAGAGGGAGAAGAAGAAGGTGAAATGAACAGAGGCAGAGACAAGTTGAGAGGAGTCTTTGAATTCCTAGATGCAGTTTAATTACTCTGATTTAATATAGGTGGTTTTGCATAGCTGTAGGTAAACGTTCATCCATTTGAAAGAAAAGTTTATCAAAGAGAATAACATCTTCCAGCAAAGACACTCAACATCTGTAGGATGTTCTTAGGACAGTTTATAGAGAGAAGCAAGCAAGAAAGAGCTCATATAACCAGAATTATCCATTAGTTGAGCCTCAGGTTGGTGACAGCTGTAATTTCAGATCACAGTACTTAATGACTAAGCCCCAAGTTAATGAGTTTTGAGTATTACAGGTTGATACACTAGTGACTGTTAACAGTGCAGTTTCTCTATCTTAACTCTCACCTTTTCTGTACAATCTGTGTGTTATCTAAAGTAATCACATTAGGATTTCTCACTATGAGCCTCCCAAGGAACCAGAAATGGCCTCAATTACATTATTTGGTAGATTCCTGTTAAGGTACGGTACTCTACAGAGAACTATTCAATCAACTGGGGCTGCACAATTTGGAGACTTACATAGTCTTGGAAAGTAAAATTGGGTTGATTTTTACAAAATAGTCCTTGGTGAATTGGATGTCATTGATACTTCTATCATGTTCAGAAAATTTGAGGCAGTTAATAAATCCAATGAAATAATATTTCTAAGGCAGTTAGCACAATGCCTTGCACATAGTAGGTACTTCATATGTACTACTTCCTTTTTCCTTCCCTTCCCTTTTCCACTTACTACCAAACAGAAATTGGTCTTCTCAGCAGGTCATACATATGACCTTATTGTTAATTTTTAGGTATTTAACTAGGTATTTAATTTTTAGGTATTTACTTAACTCTGAACTTTTGACTTTTGCATATATCTATCTTTTAAGTGCTTGAAAAATATAGGTGGATTTTAAAAAGTTTTTAAAAATCATGACTTACTACAATGCCAAAAAAATTGCCTTTAACCATATCACATAAATATCCTAGGTGTTCTCCTCCCCGCCAAGATAAGCCTTCACTGAACTTTGTGTCTCCCTAATGCCTAGTACAAGGCTCTACACACAGTCAGTGCTTCAATGTTTGAATGAAAGAACATTAGAAAATTGCTTATTATTTGAAATGCTTATAAAGTTATTCATAATATAATTATTGTCCCCACTGTGATCGTAATTGCTTCCTCATTAGCGCTCCCAGCTTTCTTCTCCATTCTCAATGTAAGTTCCCAAAGTTATTTTTCCATGGTACAGGTTTGACCATGTAACTCCTTTGCTCAGTAAACTCTAGCTCCCTATTGCCCCTAAGATCAAATAGAAATCTTTTTGTTTGGATTTTAAAGCGTTTTACAACAGCCTGAGGGCTTTTTATTTTCTCTAGGATTAAATAAAGACTTCCTCTTTTGGATTTCAAAGTCCTTCACAACTAGGTCTTGACCTACATTTCCAGGCATTTTATATTTTACTCCTCTTTACACACTCTGTGGTTCAAGGAAACTGGCCTTCTTCTTGTTCTCAATCAGTCTCCAGTCTTCATGGCTTTCTACAAGCTTTGTGCCTCTTAAAATTTTTAATTTTCCTTCAAAGCTTAGATCAAATGTCTCTTCCTACAAGAGACATATCCTGATTCCCAGCACCTAGTGCCTACAGTGGGTTGAGTGTCAGGCCTAGAGTCAGGAAGACTCATCTTCCTTTGTTCAGATCTGACCTCAGGCACTTACTAGCTATGTGACCCTGGGCAAGTCACTAACTCCGTTGGCCTCAGTTTCCTCATCTGTAAAATGAAGTGGAAAAGGAAATGGCAAGCCACTTCAGTATCTTAGTCAAGAAATCTCCAAATGGGGTCATGAAGAGTCAAACTCGACTGAAAATGACTAAAGAACAACATTTTACATATATTGTGTGTAAAGATGATATTCATTTGTAAATGATGATATGCATATGTAAAGAAGATATTCAATTTTTATGCATATCTTCTGGTAAAATCTCCATACCAACCTGGGTTTTGTTTGTTTGTTTGTTCTAACTGAAAACCAGTCTGCCCAGAAAATCAATTACTCTTCCATGACATTGGGCTACATAGATGAACTTTTGACTGAAGTAAAGTTTGATCTGACTTTCTCACCGACTCTTTCAGTTGTCTGACTGAATTAAACAAGTTGGCTTGTTACTTATTCCAGTAATTCATGCTCTTGTGTGCCTGTGATTTCATCAATATGGGAATTCCCTTCCGTGATACAGCTTGCTATCCAATATTTATTATTGGATACTGGCACTATGCTGAACAGGAGGGCTTAAACCTGTCCCTACTTAAGAAATAGTACCTACTCTCAAGGAGCTCACAGTTTAATGGCGGAGTGGGCGAGGGAAATGGGGAAATTATACCAGTAGTAGTGACCTCATAAGGTTGTTGTGAGGACAAAGGAAGGTCGTATAAGCCTTCAATTGTTACACAAATGGTGGCTGTTGCTCACATGACCATTTCATATTGTACTCCATATTAATCTTCATCTTTGCGGTAAGGATCATCTTGATATTATCTGGCTTCAGCATATAAAATGTGGTTATGTTTGCTCCTTTTGATGACTGTCCACAATGTGTTGTTATACAAATATTGATTCTTGCTTTCTTTTGTCACCTGTTTTTCTTTTCAAGTCGATTGACCCTGGTCAACAGTTCACATGGGAGCATTCAAATCTGGAAGTAAACAAACCAAAGAATAGATACGCAAATGTAATTGCATATGACCATTCTCGAGTACTTTTATCAGCAATAGAAGGTAAGAAAACCCTCGAAGCATGTACATCCTTTCCACCGGTTGAAAAGTTTGTATGTCTGGTTGTTAGCCTGCCCTGAAAAGTGAAATAACTGTGTCAAGTCAAAACTTCCTTTAGAACTTTCTTAAAATTGATTAGAGGTCTCCCTAAAGATGCTGGCTGACCACTTTTCAGGCATTGTATGGAGAGAATTCTTTTTTTCCCATATGGGTTAGAATAAATGGCTTATGAAATTTTCACTCAGACATTCTCTGATACAGTACTTTGATTGAAGAAGTTACTGTGTTCCTGGTGTTTTCCAAATCTGCTTGAATCATGACATTATTGAATATTAGAACTTGGAAGGGCCCTGAGAAATCATCTAATCCAACTCTGATTTTATAGAGAAAGAAGTAAATTTCTAGAAAGGGGAGATAACTTCCCCAAAGTCATCCAGCTAGATTATGGCAGAGCTAGAATTAGAATTCAGTTCTCCTGCCTCCTAGACCTCTTCTTCTATACAACATTGACTTTCTTGTGGTATAGGATGAATTCTAATATTCTACATGTAGATTCAGTATGGATTTTTAAAGAGCAGGATAATATTTATTTTGATACATGCCTTCATTGTAACACATCTGCCATTTTTCTGCCAATTCATATATCCTGATGTGATCTGCCTCTAATTTGTTCCTGGTAGCTCTCATAAGAGCTAAAGTACAACAAATTAGGAGTTTCACTGTGCCCTCTATTTAATTTCCTGTATGTATGTATGTGTATATGTAGATGTGTGTGTGTGTATGTGTATATATAATGTGTGTGTGTGTGTATATATATACATGTATGTGGATATATATATATAGTTAAGTAAAACTAGTTCTAATAATAATCCCAAGATAGAAGATTAGAGTGGGAGTGGAACTTAAAGTCCTATAGTCTAACTTTCCACCTTATGCGGGAATCTCTGTCCAAGAGCTCCAACCTCACAAGGCAGACCTCTCTCTCATTGTCCAACTTTCCTCGTCAGAATGTTGTGCCTTATATTTAGCTGAATTCCAGTTCCTTGTAACTTCTACCTTGATATTAGTTCTGTTTTTGAGGTATTTTCAATAAATCTAATCCGTATATATTGCAAGGGCTCTCAAACATGCCCTTGGCTTGATAAGGCAGAACCAAGGTTAACTCAGAAAGATTGTATGATTATAGACTCAGACTTTAACATGAAATGAATGCCTTGGCATTAGAAGCAGCACCAAGCATTGCCACGGGATTCTTGACAGCCTGAGGAGGAAAGCAAAGATAGACACCTAATTCCCTAGCTACTTTTCTGTGGAGGCAACATATGCAGAAAGAGACAGGAAGAGGAGATTTCTTCTCAGGATTTCAGACTCTGAACTTGTGCCTTTCTCAAGTCCCAGAGTCAGTCAGTCAGTCAGTCAATCAGTCAGTCATCAATAAACATTTATTAAGCACTTCCTATGTGATAGGCTAAGCTCTGGAGATACATAGAAAGGCAAAAGACAGTTGCTGCCCTCAAGGAGTTTACTACTCTAGTAGGAGAGGACAATACGCCAAAGGAAGCTGAAAAGCAAATGAGGAGGAAAATACCTGGTGGGGGACAGAAGTATCTGGTAAGAGGGGCAAGATGGAGAAATCAGAGGAGTACAGCTGAGTGGGAAGTGAAGAGATAGCTGGCCTAAGTACCTGCTTTAAATGAAGGTGGGTGACCCTCTCCATCCTCCTGTTAGAGGTAGAGAGGGGCGCCAGGGACAGAATCTACTGATGAAGTGTGAGTTTCAGTGCTGAAGTGATCTTACAGGATAAAAAGGTTCCTGGGGCATGATGTAGAAATCCAAAGGTGTGTAGATTCACCAGGGTTTGGCTTTTTTCCCTACAGAAGTCCAAGTCCCTAAAGCCAACATGAAGGGGCAGCCTGATTAATTCACTGACAGCTGGTAGCACCCTTTTCCCCTACCTATTCTTACTCTGCAGTGACACCACCCATTGCAGCTCATTCGGGGCTGAATCCATTGCTTTTCTTAGCCTTGTTATTCAGTTGGTTCTGTCATGTCCAACTCTTCATGACTCCTTTTGGGGTTTTCTTGGTGAAGATATTGGAGTGGTTTGCCGTTATCTTCTCCATCTCATTTTACAGATGAGGAAACTAAGGCAAATAGGGTTAAATGATTTGCCTAGGATCACATAGGTGGCAAGTATAGGATGCCAGATTTAAACTCAGGTCCTTCTGACTCCAGGGTCGCATTCTATCCATTGTACCACCTAACTTCCCTTTTCTAGCCTTAGTGATGGATGACCAATTAAGCTACTACCTCTGGTATGGTATTAACTGGTTCTATATTAATAGTGCTAGCAGGCAGCCTTCAAGTATTTAAAGAGACAGACCCCTCATGTCTCCTGTTGTCTTTCCTTCTCCCTGCCTAACATTCCCAGCTCCTTTACTTGTCCTCTTGGGAAGTGGTTTCTAGTTGCCATCATCTAAACATGCAAGATTTTCAGTGCCTTTCTTAGCATGAAGTTCCAAGAAGAGAACACAATATTCCAGAAAGGGTCAGGTCAGTACACATTCATGGGGCCTTCTTTTTGTACAACTCTTCTTATACTTCAATAGTTGAAACAATCTTTGATCTCTTTAGTGTGGATTTTACTTCTATCAGTGTAGATTGTCCTGTGCCATTCTTGTCCATTTTCTTCTGTCCATCCTGCAAAGAGCACTTACAAAGTGCTTGAGGCCTTCCTTTTATTCTCCTGGTTTCTCTCAGTGAAACTCAAGGTTAGATTAGTTTGGTTTTTTTTTTCTTTTTGTTTCATTTCGTTTGGCAGCTGGGTTGTACTGTTGACTCATGTGAAACTTACAGTCAACTAAAACTCTGAGTTCTTTTTCACTTGAGCAGCTGTTAAGCTAAGATCCTCCCATATAGTGCTTGAGAACTTTGCAGTTTAAACTTTTCGATCTAGAGAAGTACCTGTTTATCCTTAAGTTTGTGATTGTTTTTCGTTTTTAAATCTAAGATGTTTACAAGTGTAATAACTCCACAATATCTTCTCCAAAAGATAAATTTAAGGTTGGAAATCTCAAAAGCCTCCTCAGTAAAGAATTCATGTAGTCCTAGTCTTTTTTGAAGTCTTCTTTCTTTATCATATTATTCCCCTACTCAAAAACCTTCAGTAGCTCCCCATTGCTATAGAACATTTCTATTTGCTCCATTTTTCCAGTAGAATCAAATAGAAAGTTATTACCCTAACAATAGAATTATGAATTAGATATTCTATGGCCTTCCAAGATCTTTCTCCAACCCACCTTTTGTTTTTTGCATCCTAGCACTTAGCACAATACCCTGCATATAGTAGGTGCTCTAAAAATGTTCGTTGAATTGAAATAAATAACTGTCCCAATTTCCCTTCCTCACCAAAGTGCCAAGTGAGATGGATTTTGTTTGTAGCTAAAAAAGAAACAAAATTATAAAGAGAAGCAGGGTCTTTTTGACAGTGTTTTGGTTTCCCTCTAATAAGTGAATTAGTTGGTGCTCATTTTCCATTTCACAAAATAAAGAAACTTGACCTTAGCCTCTTCAAAAAAGTGGGTTGCCAAGGTTAGTTATCTGTGGGACAGTGGCAACAAGGCAGCTGTCCTTTTGGGCCAACCAGTTTATGAATCATATTTCATTGATCATTGTTTATATCCAAGTGCAGACGGCGCATAAATCCTGGATGAGTACTGATTATGTTTGACCTCTTTCTTTCCACTCTGCAGATATGTTAAGCAAATAAATGGTGATCCTTTGGTCTCAGATAATTCCAACAAAAAGCAGCAATTTAGTCTCAAATATCAGAAAGCCAAGAGTTTTTACTCCACTATGGAAAGCAAGAGTATAAAAATGAAAGACTAAATATTTGGATGGGATGCTAGGAACAGATCTGTAATGGTCTTAGACAGAGGCACTGTCAGGCTGCTTTGCAGTAGGATTCTTTTCTCCCTGCTAAACTAGGTCATTCAGTATTATCTGCTCTCTACACTTGACCTTCTTTGTCATTATTAGTCCTCACAAGCTACTTTCCCACCATCTTCACAGAAAATACTATTGGAGTAGAAAGAATATGTTTCCATGTCCTCCCTACAAAAGAGGTTGATAAACACCTAGGGTTTGTGCCTCTACTCTTATTATGGTATAAAAGCCAAATAATTTGAATCATATGAACAATATTCCTTTTGTTTATTTTAGATCTAACTTCCCCGAAGTGAGCCCCAAGTTGAAAGCTGAACTAGAAACCCGAAGCATCTTCAGATACAGATATTCTATAAATTCAGCAATTCAGTTCAATCTAACTGATATTTATTATACACCATATTATCTGTAGTCTACCCTCAAGCAGACATTTTATTTCCTGGAAATAAAAGATGGTAGCACTGAGGAATAGTCTTTTCCAAATCATAACAATTTGGAAATATAGACATATTGAAAACTGTACTCTTCTTACAAACCTATTGTTATCATCATGATGTATTTATTATTGCTATTATTATTACTACTAATAATAATAATAATAAGAATAATAATAAATTAGGCTATGTTCAACTGGTGACCTAACTACATTAATTTTTCCCCCATTTTCAATTTATTATATCCATCGGCTATGGAATGTTTAAATGCAAGTTTATGTTTATATTATTATGCCTTATAACTTACAATAGCTTATTTTACCTGCTACCAATCATTTTCTTTAGTAAAGAACCCTGCTTCTTTCAGATGAATCTATGCTTTGCTTATAAATACACTTCCACTTTTGAAGCCATTTAATTTTCTTCTGATTCTGTGATGACTATGCATGCAATGAGCTAGGAAATTCTGTATGGATGTAATGAGTTAAAGAAGGGATTTTACATAAGAAACCCCAGTGGCAATGCCTTCACACCCTGACCTTTTCCCCAATTATGAATCATCATCTGCTTTATTCATGAAGAGTATCTAGAACTCTTGTTTGTTTGGCCTTAAATTCCTATCTT